CGCTCACCTACTCACCCGCTCATTCGCCCACTCACCCACCCACCCACTCACTCACCCATTCACTCACTCACCCATTCACTCACCCACCCGCTCACTCGGTTAATCGCTCGCTCACCCACCCACTCACCCACTCATTCGGCCACTCACCCACCCAATCACCTACTCACTCACCAACCCACCCTCTCACCCACCCTCTCACCCACCCAATCAACCCACTCACCCACCCACATACTCACCCACCCGCTCAGTCTCTCGTACCCTCTCACCCACCTCCCCTCCCCTTGTCCACCCCCGCAATGCTCCATCTCTAGACCGTGGACGACTCCCCGATGTTCACAGAGGAGGATTTCGCAAACTACGAGCGCCAATTCTTCCCTCATCACGAGGATGCGCAGGAAGAGCATCATCTAGAGCAGCAGCAGCATCATCAGCAGCATCATCAGCAGCAGCATCATCTAGAGCAGCAGCATCTAGAGGAGCAACAGCAGCATCATCAGCAGCAGCAGCATCTAGAGCAACAGCAGCAGCATCATCAGCAGCAGCAGCATCTTCAGCAGCAGCAGCATCATCTAGAGCAGCAACAGCAGCATCATCATCAGCAGCAGCAGCAGCAGCTGGGACAGCATCAAGAGCAGCAGCATCAGCAGCATCATCAGCAGCAGCAACAGCAGCAGCAGCAGCAGCAACAGCAGCAGCAGCATCATCAGCAACAGCATCATCAGCAACAGCAGCAGCAGCATCATCAGCAACAGCAGCAGCATAATCAGCAACAGCAGCAGCAGCTGGGACAGCATCAAGAGCAGCAGCAACATCAGCTAGGGCAACAGCATCAGCAGCAACAGCAGCAGCAGCAACAGCATCATCAGCAACAGCAGCAGCATGGACAAAAGCATCAGCTGGGACAGGAGCATCAGCAGCAACAGCATCAGCAGCAGCATCAGCAGCAGCAGGAGGTGATGAAGGCTCCTCTATGATTATCAGGGTTCAGTGTTAATGAGTGAGGCTCATAGAGCCAGACTAAGGCTCTTGTAGGATTATCAGGGTTCAGTGTTAATGAGTGAGACTCATAGAGCCAGACTAAGGCTCTTATAGGATGCTCAGGGTTCAGTGTTAATGAGTGAGACTCATAGAGCCAGACTAAGGCTCCTGTAGGATTATCAGGGTTCAGTGTTAATGAGTGAGACTCATAGAGCCAGACTAAGGCTCCTGTAGGGTTATCAGGGTTCAGTGTTAATGAGTGAGACTCATAGAGCCCGACTAAGGCTCTTGTAGGATTATCAGGGTTCAGTGTTAATGAGTGAGACTCATAGAGCCAGACTAAGGCTCTTATAGGATGCTCAGGGTTCAGTGTTAATGAGTGAGACTCATAGAGCCAGACTAAGGCTCCTGTAGGATTATCAGGGTTCAGTGTTAATGAGTGAGACTCATAGAGCCAGACTAAGGCTCCTGTAGGGTTGTCAGGGTTCAGTGTTAATGAGTGAGACTCATAGAGCCAGACTAAGGCTCATCTAGGATTATCAGGGTTCAGTGTTAATGAGTGAGACTCATAGAGCCAGACTAAGGCTCTTATAGGATGCTCAGGGTTCAGTGTTAATGGGTGAGGCTCATAGAGCCAGACTAAGGCTCTTCTGTGATGCTCAGGGTTCAGTGTTAATGGGTGAGGCTCATAGAGCCAGACTAAGGCTCCTGTAGGATGCTCAGGGTTCAGTGTTAATGAGTGAGACTCATAGAGCCAGACTAAGGCTCCTGTAGGATGCTCAGGGTTCAGTGTTAATGGGTGAGGCTCATAGAGCCAGACTAAGGCTCCTGTAGGATGCTCAGGGTTCAGTGTTAATAAGTGAGACTCATAGAGCCAGACTAAGGCTCATCTAGGATGCTCATGGTTCAGTGTTAATGAGTGAGACTCATAGAGCCAGACTAAGGCTCATCTACGATGCTCAGGGTTCAGTGTTAATGAGTGAGACTCATAGAGCCAGACTAAGGCTCATCTAGGATGCTCAGGGTTCAGTGTTAATGAGTGAGGCTCATAGAGCCAGACTAAGGCTCCTGTAGGATTATCAGGGTTCAGAGTTAATGGGTGAGGCTCATAGAGCCAGACTAAGGCTCATCTAGGATGCTCAGAGTTCAGTGTTAATGAGTGAGACTCATAGAGCCAGACTAAGGCTCATGTAGGATGCTCAGGGTTCAGTGTTAATGAGTGAGACTCATAGAGCCAGACTAAGGCTCATGTAGGATGCTCAGGGTTCAGTGTTAATGGGTGAGACTCATACAGCCAGACTAAGGCTCATCTAGGATGCTCAGGGTTCAGTGTTAATGGGTGAGGCTCATACAGCCAGACTAAGGCTCATCTAGGATTATCAGGGTGCAGTGTTAATGAGTGAGACTCATAGAGCCAGACTAAGGCTCTTCTGTGATTCTAGGGGTTCGGTGTTAATGAGTGAGACTCATAGAGCCAGACTAAGGCTCCTGTAGGATGCTCAGGGTTCAGTGTTAATGGGTGAGGCTCATAGAGTCAGACTAAGGCTCCTGTAGGATTATCAGGGTTCAGTGTTAATGAGTGAGACTCATAGAGCCAGACTAAGGCTCATCTAGGATGCTCAGGGTTCAGTGTTAATGAGTGAGGCTCATAGAGCCAGACTAAGGCTCTTGTAGGATTATCAGGGTTCAGTGTTAATGGGTGAGGCTCATAGAGCTAGACTAAGGCTCCTGTAGGATGCTCAGGGTTCAGTGTTAATGAGTGAGGCTCATAGAGCCAGACTAAGGCTCATCTAGGATGCTCAGGGTTCAGTGTTAATGAGTGAGACTCATAGAGCCAGACTAAGGCTCATCTAGGATTATCAGGGTTCAGTGTTAATGGGTGAGGCTCATAGAGCCAGACTAAGGCTCCTGTAGGATTATCAGGGTTCAGTGTTAATGAGTGAGACTCATAGAGCCAGACTAAGGCTCACCTAGGATGCTCAGGGTTCAGTGTTAATGAGTGAGGCTCATAGAGCCAGACTAAGGCTCATCTAGGATGCTCGGGGTTCAGTGTTAATGAGTGAGGCTCATAGAGCCAGACTAAGGCTCTTGTAGGATTATCAGGGTTCAGTGTTAATGGGTGAGGCTCATAGAGCCAGACTAAGGCTCCTGTAGGATGCTCAGGGTTCAGTGTTAATGAGTGAGGCTCATAGAGCCAGACTAAGGCTCATCTAGGATGCTCAGGGTTCAGTGTTAATGAGTGAGACTCATAGAGCCAGACTAAGGCTCATCTAGGATTATCAGGGTTCAGTGTTAATGGGTGAGGCTCATAGAGCCAGACTAAGGCTCCTGTAGGATTATCAGGGTTCAGAGTTAATGGGTGAGGCTCATAGAGCCAGACTAAGGCTCCTGTAGGATTATCAGGGTTCAGAGTTAATGGGTGAGGCTCATAGAGCCAGACTAAGGCTGCGTCGTGTGGTGGGAGGTAGCACAACACACCAGGCTCACTGACGCTGTCACCCGCCCCACTCACAGGCGGATAAGCAGCATCAGCTGGAACAGGCACCTCAGGAGCACAAAGGGCAGCCCCTGGAGGCTCACAAGGACCCCAGCCCTCCCATTCAACACAATCCATTGGCTGGTGAGTGGGCTAACAGTGGCCATCTTGGTGAGTTCACAGTGGCCATGTTGGTGGGTTCGCAGTGGCCGTGTTGGTGAGTTCACTGTGGCCATGTTGGTGAGTTCACAGTGGCCATGTTGGTGGGTTCGCAGTGGCCATGTTGGTGAGTTCACAGTGGCCGTGTTGGTGAGTTCACAGTGGCCGTGTTGGTGAGTTCACAGTGGTCGTGTTGGTGAGTTCACGGTGGCCGTGTTGGTGAGTTCACAGTGGCCATGTTGGTGAGTTCACAGTGGCCATGTTGGTGAGTTCACAGTGGCCATGTCGGTGAGTTCACAGTGGCCATGTCGGTGAGTTCACAGTGGCCATGTCGGTGAGTTCACAGTGGCCATGTCGGTGAGTTCACAGTGGTCGTGTTGGTGAGTTCACAGTGGCCGTGTTGGTGAGTTCACAGTGGCCTTGTTGGTGAGTTCACTGTGGCCATGTTGGTGAGTTCACGGTGGCCATGTTGGTGAGTTCACAGTGGCCGTGTTGGTGAGTTCACAGTGGTCGTGTTGGTGAGTTCACGGTGGCCGTGTTGGTGAGTTCACAGTGGCCATGTTGGTGAGTTCACAGTGGCCATGTTGGTGAGTTCACAGTGGCCATGTTGGTGAGTTCACAGTGGCCATGTTGGTGAGTTCACAGTGGCCATGTTGGTGAGTTCACAGTGGCCGTGTCTATGCTGTGCTGTGTTTCAGGACATGAGATGCACGTGGAGGGAAGAATTGAAAAACCGGACAATCACTAGTGACCCACGCTCACTAACAACCCACCCACCCACTCACTCGCCACTCACTCACTCGACCCACTCACTCACTCACTCGCGACCCACTCGCGACCCACTCACTCACTCGCCACTCACTCACTCACTCGCGACCCACTCGCGACCCACTCACTCACTCGCCACTCACTCACTCACTCGCGACCCACTCGCGACCCACTCACTCACTCGCCACTCACTCACTCACTCGCGACCCACTCGCGACCCACTCACTCACTCGCCACTCACTCACTCACTCGCGACCCACTCGCGACCCACTCACTCACTCGCCACTCACTCACTCACTCGCGACCCACTCGCGACCCACTCACTCACTCGCCACTCACTCACTCACTCGCGACCCACTCGCGACCCACTCACTCACTCGCCACTTACTCACTCACTCGCGACCCACTCGCGACCCACTCACTCGCCACTCACTCACTCACTCGCGACCCACTCGCGACCCACTCGCGACCCACCCACTCACTCGCCACTCACTCACTCACTCGCGACCCACTCACTCACGACCCACACCATTGCTCACTAACAACCCACTCACTCACTCACTCACGACCCACTCACTCACGACCCACTCACTCACGACCCACTCACTCACTCACGACCCACTCACTCACGACCCACTCACTCACGACCCACACCATTGCTCACTAACAACCCACTCACTCGCTCGCGACCCACTCACTCACTCACGACCCACTCACTCACTCACGACCCACACCATTACTCACGACCCTCCCACTCACTCGCTAGCCACCAATTATGCCCACGTAATATCTGCAAAGTTTCACTTTTCGATAAAATCAACATCTCAAAACATTCACACCGCCACTAATCCTCCGCCGCGGTATTCACCAAAAATTCACATATTTATATTGGTGTTATATTTTAAACCACAGTGAACATTTTTGTCAGTTTATACAAGCAGATAGCACGTTTAAATCGATACGGTACATATGCAGTAAGCTTATACAGAAAATATTTTCTTATTATAGGTTCCGTATTAAATTAAACTTACGCCTGTCCTGAGACCCAAACCTCGTGGCTCTCCACAAAATGGCTACTTGATTCGTTTCTCTCCTCCCCTCATGCCGGTTACACGGACCAAGCCATTTCAGTGCCGTTAATGACGGGGGGTTGTGTATGGGTCAAACCATTGTCATGTTCTACATGAGGGGTGTCTATGGGTCAAACCATTCCCCTGTTCTTCATGAGTGTCTGTGGGTCAAACTACTGTCATGTTCTTCATGAGGAGTGTCTATAGGTCAAACCATACCCCTGTTCTTCATGAGGGGTGTCTATGGGTCAAACCATCCCCCTGTTCTTCATGAGGGGTGTTTATGGGTCAAACCATTCCCCTGTTCTACATGAGGGGTGTTTATGGGTCAAACCATTCCCCTGTTCTACATGAGGGGTGTCTATGGGTCAAACCATCCCCCTGTTCTTCATGAGGGGTGTTTATGGGTCAAACCATTCCCCTGTTCTACATGAGGGGTGTTTATGGGTCAAACCATTCCCCTGTTCTACATGAGGGGTGTCTATGGGTCAAACCATCCCCCTGTTCTTCATGAGGGGGTTGTTTATGGGTCAAACCATTCCCCTGTTCTACATGAGGGGTGTCTATGGGTCAAACCATTCCGCTGTTCTACATGAGGGGTGTGTATGGGTCAAACCATTCCCCTGTTCTACATGAGGGGTGTTTATGGGTCAAACCATTGCCCTGTTTTACATCAGGGGTGTTTATGGGTCAAACCATTCCCCTGTTCTACATGAGGGGTGTCTATGGGTCAAACCATTCCGCTGTTCTACATGAGGGGTGTGTATTGGTCAAACCATTCCCCTGTTCTACATGAGGGGTGTTTATGGGTCAAACCATTCCCCTGTTCTACATCAGGGGTGTTTATGGGTCAAACCATTCCCCTGTTCTACATGAGGGGTGTCTATGGGTCAAACCATCCCCCTGTTCTTCATGAGGGGGTTGTTTATGGGTCAAACCATTCCCCTGTTCTTCATGAGGGGGTTGTTTATGGGTCAAACCATTGCCATTGCCGACATGGGTGTTTATGGGTCCATTCTTCTGGTTCTGCACCCATATCGACGTCGCATTTACAAAACATCATTCACGACAAATCCCAAATCGAGTTCGATAAATCGCACGTCGCGGTGACTCGATCACTCGGGTAGAGTCTCGAACAAAGATGTCCGCCAACCGAAGACCGATTCTCCGAAGCGCCGTTACCCTCCGCCGCCCCCAACACCACCACACCCGAGGTGGGGGGGGCGGCCCCCGCGGGGGGCCCCCCCCCCCTCTCACGACATGCGGAGGGCGAGCGCTTGCCGTGGGCTCCACGGACGCCTCGACCCCCCCACCGTCGTCGGTGCCGTGGGGCGTCGAGCCCCGGGCCCTCTGCGCCCCCCCTGAGACTTCCCCCGACCGCCCCGGTGGCGGCCACCATGGCGGCCGCCCCGGTGGCGGGGAGACGTGGCGCGTCCTCGGCATCGTCCTCTCCTGCCTCTTGCCCAGCTACGGTTACTGCCGACGTCGCTGCCGACACCGCGACCGCCACCAACATCGCGACCAGCACCGCTGCCAACGTCGCGACCAGCACCGCCACCAGCACCGCGACCAACACCGCGACCATGCCCTCTGCATCCGCCACGCCTGCCACCGCTGCCTTCGCCCGCGTGAGCGCCGCCGTCATCGCTGTGCCCTCGGCGCCCTCCTGCCCAGACGTTGGTGTTGCCATCAACGTCGCCGGCGCTGCTGCCGCCATCAGCGTGGAGTGAAATGCGCCCTCTATCCCATTCTCCTCCCTGGCCACGACTGCTACTACCCACACCGCCATCACCACCACTGCGAGCATCACCAACACCACCAACAACACCAACACCACCACTACCATCACCCCCACCAACACCACCACTACCATCCCCCCCACCAACACCACCACTACCATCACCCCCACCAACACCACCACTACCATCACCCCCACCAACACCACCACTACCATCACCCCCACCGACACCACCACTACCATCACCAACACCACCACTACCATCACCCCCACCAACACCACCACTACCATCACCCCCACCAACACCACCACTGCTAGCATCACCCCCACCAACACCACCACTACCATCACCCCCACCAACACCACCACTACCATCACCCCCACCAACACCACCACTACCATCACCCCCACCAACACCACCACTACCATCACCCCCACCAACACCACCACTAGCATCACCCCCACCAACACCACCACTACCATCACCCCCACCAACACCACCACTACCATCCCCGTGCCTACTATAACCTCCACCCCAACCGCTTCTGTCAACACCACTGCCACCAACGCCAACGCCACCACCGTTACTGCCACCGTGACCTCCACCGTGACCTCCATGTCCTCTCCCCCAGTGACCCACCCAGCCTCTTCCGCTATGCTCGACACCGCTACCACCACCACCAACACCGCCTTCATCACCGCTACCACCACCATGACCACCACCACCAACACCACCACCACCACGACCAACACCACCGCCACTACCACCACGACCATCATCACCATGACCACCACGACCGCCACCACCACCAGCACCACCAACACCACCACCACCAACAACACCGCCATCATCACCAACACCACCGCTACCAACACCATGACCACCACCGCCATCATCACCGCTCCCACCACCATGACCATCTCCACCACGACCACTATGACCATCACCGCCACCATCAGGACCAACACGACCATCAGGACCAACACCAACACCACCAACAACACCACCAACACCACCAACACCACCACCAACACCACTACCACTACGACCATCACCACCACCACCAGGACCAACACCACCACCACCAACACCACCAACACCACCACCAACAACACCACCAACACCACCACCACCACGACCATCACCAATGCCACCGCCACCAACATCACCACCACCAACACCGCCACCATCGCCAACACCACCAACACCGCCACCAACACCGCCATCACCAACACCACCACGACCAACACCACCACCAACACCACGACCAACACCACCACCGCCACCATCACCAACACCACCGCTACCACCACCACCACCAACACTGCCATCAACACTGCCGCCACCACCACCACCACCACCAGGACCAACACCACCACCACCACCACCACGACCATCACCACCATGACCACCACCATGACCACCACCATGACCACCACCATGACCACCACCATGACCACCACCGCTACCACCGCCACCACCACCTCTACCACCACCACCAACACCGCCACCAACACCGCCACCACCACCGCCACCACCACCGCCACCACCACCACCAGGACCAACACCACCACCAACACCACCACGACCATCACCACCACCACCATGACCACCACCGCTACCACCACCGCCACCACTATCACCGCCACCACCACCACCAAGACCATGACCACCACGACCATGACCACCACCACCACCACCACCGCCACCACCACCGCCACCACCACCGCCACCACCACCGCCACCACCACCGCCACCACCACCGCCGCCACCACCATCAGGACCAACGCCACCACCAACACCACCACGACCATCACCACCACCACCATGACCACCACCGCCACCACTACCATGACCACCACCGCCACCACCACCACCAGGACCATGACCACCACGACCATGACCACCACCACCATGACCACCACCGCTACCACCACCGCCACCACTATCACCGCCACCACCACCACCATGACCACCACCACCACCACCACCACCGCCATCACCACCCCCACCATCACCACCACCACCACCGCCGCCACCGCGGCTGCGGCAGTACCCGGGCTCGAGGCTGCGGTCGGTGCAGTCGGTGGTGCGCCAGTCGCACGCCGAACAGCGGCACTCGTCGGCCACGGGGTAGAGCAGCGACGGGTCGGCGCCATCGCGGCACCCGCGAAGGCGCGCCCTGCGGTACGAGACGCGCCAGTACGTGCACACGTGGTTGTTGGGCGCCGTTGCCGGTAGCAGGAACTCCAGGGGGCTGTTGAAGTCCTGCGGGTGGGTGGGGTTGGGGGGGAAAGGGGACCGTCCATAAATGACATCACGAGATTTTGGACGATTTTGGACGATTTTTGACCCCCCCCCCCACCACCATTCGTCACACGGCGTCACAAAGTCCGTTCAAGTTCATTTATACTGGTAGGAACGAAGTGAACCAGCCTACAATAGATTATATCGTCCGTCCGTCCGATGTCCGATTAGGTGTAGCAACATCGCCCCCTACTGCAAACACTTGGCAGGACCCTACAAAAACCTTTAGACTTAGTGAGGCTTTCCTGGCTAAACAAGTGTACCATTTTCTTATAATTCCCTGAGATAGTTTTTAATTAAAACATTTAAATAAAAAAATTAACTCACAGCGGCCTAAAGCCTACAGCTAGGCCTAAAGCCTAGAACTAGGCCTCAAACTCTCCCATCGTATCGTACCCCACCATTTCATTTTATTATGGCCATTCATTTGTTCGTTCCTACCAGCCCACCCCGCAGGGACCTGTTTAGGTGTAGCCCTGTGAGCCATTCGGCTCTTGAATCGGGTGCAACCGCAACAAACAAAAAACATGAACATCTTCTTGGTTCTTTCGGTAAAGGCTTTCCTGGCTAAACAAGTGTAACCGAAAGAACCAAGAAGATGAATCCCTGCAGTCACGAAAGCTTTAAATCGAAACATGAACATCTTAAAGTGAATATGTGACTGAGTGCAAACATGAAAATCAAAGAAAAGACAGCAAAATATTGCAGAAAAAAATCACCGCTGTGTGCAAAAATCCCAGTGGGATGCAAGTCAAACAACCAACAACAACCACAAGACAACTTAGATTAAGGCCATCAGTCTAACTCTGTACTACAACAACACAAACATGGCCAAACCAAAAAACTTTTCAAAAATCACCAAAATAAAGCCATTAAAGTCAAACAACAACAACAACCACAAGACAACTAAGATTAAGGCCATCAGT